CGGGGTTTCACCATGTTGACCAGGATGGTCTCGATCTCTTGACCTCGTGATCCACCCGCCTCGGCCTCCCAAAGTGCTGGGATTACAGGCTTCAGCCACCGCGCCCAGCCCTTCCTGATGCTTTTTAAGTCACCTTTAGCCATTTCACATCTCCTTGAGAACAGTGAGCCGCTTGATATATTTTTGACAGGTTGGACAGGCAGTTTGTTCCTGGGAGATAAAAAAGCCCGAGGTTAGCTGTGCGCGGTGGCTCATGCCTGAAGTCCCAGCACTTTGGGAGGCTGAGGTGGGAGGCCATCATTTGAGGACAGGAGTTCAAGACTGGCCTGGACACCATAGTGAGACCCCGTCTCTATCTAAAAAAAAAAGTATGGGTCCATTTACTTTTTCTTTCTTCAAATGATGAGTAGCTTGGGAGATCTGTCTGCTCCTCCGGAGCCAGGTCACCTTGGAATTGTGTCCACAGAGGCAGGTGGACCTAGCACCCTTAGCTCTTACTGTGAAGTGCCCCTTCTCAAGGGTGTCTTGCTATTCCCTGCCACCACCTCCTTGTCAGCCCCAGGGACAGACTTTCCATTGCCTGCAGTGCAGCCCAGCTAAGCCAGGCTAATCACAAAAGGAGGATTTTACTGAAGAATCAGGAGAGTTGAAGGGCAGCCCACCCAGACAGCTCCAGTCACAGTTTACCACATAGCACTTGCTTCAGGCCAGGTGCGGCGGCTCATGCCTGTAATCCCAGCCCTTTGGGAGGCCGAGGCAGGAGGACTGCTTGAGGCCAGAAGTTTAAGACCAGCCTGTTCAACATAGCAAGACCCTATCTCTACAAAAAATTTAAAAATTAGCTGGACATGGTGGTCCTAGCTACTTGGGAGGCTGAGGTGGAGGATTGGTTGAGTCCAGGAGGTAGAGGCTGCTGTGAGCCATGATTACATCATTGCACTCCAGCCTGGGTGACAGAGTGAGACCGTGTGTTAAAAAAAAAAAGACCTGCTTCACTGTTCTTTTTCTTCCTCTTAGGCAACCCCTGTCCCTACCCCCAGGTTCCTGCCAGTGGAAATGTCTCCTCATCAGCGGCAGGTCCCATTCCTGGCCCATGGGCCTCTCTAAAGGACAACTCTGTGGCCCTGCCATGTTGGGATGAAACAAAATCAGTTTGCTGATTTTGTCAGTTGCTCCTGTATAGCTAATATGAATGGTTACCTATATATGAGCTACTCTGGGACAGTAGAGGGGAGTCCATCAGTAAATTAAGTTTACAGTGGACTTACGTAATTGGTGAACATTGCAGGCTTTGATGAGAGTCCTCCCAGGGTAGGTCAGCAGTTCTCGTCCTGCATAAAAATTACTAACATGGGCCAGGTGCTGTGCTCATGCCTGTAATCCCAGCACTTTGGGAGGCTGAGGCAGGAGGATCGCATGGGCCCAGGAATTTGAGACCGACCTGGGCAACGTAAGGAGACGTTGTCTCTACAAAAAAATATAAATAAATTAGCTGGCTGTGGTGTTGCACGCCTGCGGTCCCAGCTACTCTGGAGGCTGAGGTGGGAGGATCGCTTGCACCTGGGAAGTCAAGGCTGCAGTGAGCTGTGATCACACCACTGCGCTCCAGCTTATCTCGAAGGGATGGGAGGAAACTAGTAACATGTTGTCAGTACCAGGGTGGAGTGGTATCGGGTGGTCCCTGGCAGGGATGAGGAAGGGAAGCCGTCTTGGCAACATGGCTGGTATGTGGAGCTCTCAGTGGCCTTAGCATAACTTGCATGGTGTTGCCTTTCCCCCCTAAGCTTTTCCTGAGGGCCTGGAAGTGTCATCCAGCCCCACCTGATGTAGCCCTTTTGTGTGTCACTAAGGAAAGCAGCTGAAGTGCCCATGGAGGGAACTCCCAGTGGGGAAGGTGTGAAAGATGTTGGAACTTGTTAGGGGACATGCTATATATATAGGTTACCTTTCTCACTTCTTCGGTCCTTTGTCTTTTATAACAAAAAGGTGCCATTGTTAGATGGGGTGGACAGTGAAGATGATGAAAGTATTTCTGATCAAGATGGGTTTCCAGGCTCACCTCCTGCACCACAGCTGACACAACAAAAAGGTAAAAAAAAGAAAAAGCCACAATTTTTATAAAATATAAGAACATTTTTTCCTAATGAATATTGCTTATTTTTAGAAAAACGTACCCATTGCCCCTTCATGCTTTAGCTCTCTGATTTCAACTAGGAATATACTTGAAATTTATTTTTTATTGAAAATGAGGGTACGGGTATGGTGGCTCACGCCCGTAATCCCAGCACTTTGGGAGGCTTAGGTGGGCGGATCACGAGGTCAAGAGATTGAGACCATGGTGCAACCCCGTCTCTACTAAAAAATACAAAAATTAGCAGGGTGTGGTGGTGCACGCATGTGGGCCCAGCTACTCAGGAGGCTGAGGCAGGAGAATTGATTGAACCTGGGAGGCCGAGATCACGCCACTGCACTCCAGCCTGGCACCTGATGACAGAGCAAGACTCTGTCTCAAAAAAGAAAGTAGCCTGGGCAACACAGGGAGACCTTGTCTTAACAAAAAGTAAAAATAAAAACAGCCAGGCAAGGTGGTACACGCCTGTAGTCCCAGCTACTTAGGAGGGTTAGGTGGGATGATCACTTAAACCCAGAATGGAGCTGTGATTGCACCATTGCACTCCAGCCTGGGTGATAGAATGAGACCTTGTCTCAAGAAAACAAGGCTGGGTGTGGTGGCTCACACTTATAATCCCAGCACTTTGGGAGTCCAAGGTGGGTAGATCTCTTGAGTTTAGTTAGGAGTTTGGGGCCAGCTTGGGCAACATAGTGAGACTGTATCTCTGCAAAAAATGGACATCCCATCTCTACCAGAATACAAAAAAGTAGCCAGACATGGTGGCGTGTGCCTGTGGTCCTAGGTACTCAGGAGGCTGAGGTGGAAAGATTGCTTGGGTCCTTGAGGCAGAGGCTGCAGTGAGCTGAGATCAGTGCCATTGTACTCCAGCCTTAGTGACAGAGTGAAACCCCATCTCAAAAAGAAAAGAAAACAAGTTATTTCACAGTCGATTGCTCCTGGATACTAGGTTGTTTTTAAAGTACAAGGTACTGGGTTTTGTTGTCGTTGTTGTTGTTTTTTTTTTTTTTTTTTTTTTTTTTTTTTTTTTTTTTTTTTTTGCCGTGTTAGCCAGGCTGGTCTTGAACTCCTGGGCTTAAGCAGTAGAGATAGGGTTAGAGATAGGGTCTCCCTAGTCCCAGTGCTTGGGGAAAGACCTGGCCCACAGTGGCCCATCAGGAAAAGTCTGTGGGGTGAATGAGTGCCTGGATATGTATCATTTGATTTATCACATGAGAGAGTTCAACATGTTACAGCAAAAGGTAGGGAAACGTTTTCAGTTTCCACGTTTTAGAAGTGATGAGAGCCAGGCATCAAGTGGACAGCCAACAACTGCTTTATCAGCAGCTCCAGAGTTGCTCGGGCTCAGGGAAACGTTTATGTAAATCATTTCTCAAGGAAAACAGAATGCCAGTCTCAGAATCCTGGGGCCAGAAAACACCTGCTGGTCAGCTGGCATAATTTTTAAATAGTAGAGTTATGTAAAAAGTGCATCCCTTTTAAAATTAAAAAAGTAATACTATCTCATCGTAAAAAAAAATACATAAATATATAAAGTGCATTAGTCTGTTGTCAAGCTGCTGATAAAGATATACCCAAGACTTATAAAGAAAAAGAGGTTTAATGGATTCACAGTTCCACGTGGCTCGGGAGGCCTCACAATCATGGCAGAAGGTGAAAGACGTCTTTCATGGCGGCAGACGAGAGAATGAGGATCAAAAGAAAGGGGTTTCCCCTTATAAAACCATCAGATCTCGTGAGACTTATTCGCTACCATTAGAACAGTATGGGGGAAACCACCCCCATGATTCAGTTATCTCCCACCAGGTCCCTCCCACAATATGTAGAAATTATGGGAGCTACATTCAAGATGAGATGTGGGTGGGGACACAGCCAGACCACATCATAAAGCTAGACATACTTAATTGTGCTCCCATAGACAATGACTTAACAATTTAGAGTGTGTATGTATGTAAAGCACACACTGTTTTGTTACCTGTCTTTGATTTCACAACACATGCTAAATGTCTTCCTGTGTCCCCAAATTTGATTCTCTCCTCCCTTGTCTAACATCTGCACTATGTGGCCTGATGTAGCATACATTAGTCAGGGTCCAATCAGGAGTCAGAACACACACAGTGACTTGAAAAGGGAAAGTGTGCTATAAACAACTATTAATTATAGCAAGTTTGGGAGCTGGGCATGGTGGCTCACATCTGTAGTCCCAGCTGTGCAGGAGGCTGAGATGGGAGGGTCACTTGAGCCCAGGAAGGAGGTCAAGGCTGCAGTGAGCTGTGATAGTGCCACTGCACTCCAGCCTAGGTGACAGAGTAAGACCCTGTCTCTAAAAAAAACAGTAATAACAGAATTGCCTACTAAGGAGCAAAGAGAATACTCAAGAATTCAAGAGTAACAGCTCAAGGGAGCAGACACTGTCCCTAGGGCTGACGCAAAGTCAGCCTTCAGGAGGAAGCAGCTCTGGAGGAGCCTCACCCAGAACCAAGATCCACACCTTCCTGGAGGGGATGTAGCTGTGGCCTGCCAGGTAGCTGAGAAGTTTGCTGACGTGCAGCCCTAATGAAACTCACTGGGATAGGGGGCCAGGAGAAGCCACCATGGCAGATACCGCATGTTGCTGCCTGCCCCCCCCCCCCAAAAAAAAAAAAAATTAAAAGGAAAGAGAAAGAAAGGATCTGGGCATGTAATCCCACTTTTAATCCCAGCTACTTGGGAGGCCAAGGCGGGAAGATTACTTGAGCCCAGGAGTTTGAATCCAGCCTGGGGAATAGAGTGAGACCCTCAGACTCTAAAAAATAGAAATTAAGAAAAGAAATTAATGCAAAGAAGGAAGAGTCAGAGGAAGCTCGAATCAGAAAGTAAAGCCCCAGCTCCTCGAGCGTCTCTCCAGCGCCCTGCAGAGGAAGCCTGCCATGGTGCCGACTGGCTGGGTGGAAGTGTTGCAGTAACATGAGCTGGCCGGGAAGGCGGATTTGGAGGTGAGAGGCAGTGGCCACCTGCACACTTGGTAACATGCACTGGGCACAGGTGGTGGTTGGGAGGGATTGCAGCTCCTGCAGTGATGCCTGCTTTGTGGTAGGCATTAAAAGCCCCTGCATGCTTCTGAAAAACCCCAAACCCCAAACTCGAATTCCAGCACTGCACTCCAGCCTGGGTTACAGGACTCTTTTTCTGAAAAGTTGATGACTAAGATGAAATAGCATGATTTCCTTTGGAAAATACACGAATTGCCCTTCAAAACCTTTATATTGTGATCATTTTTAATGTGCACAAAAGTAGAGAGACTAGTAAAATGAACTCCCAACCTGTGTATCTCCCTGCTTCTATAGCTGTCTACATTTTTTTTGGAGGGCGGGGGGGGGCAGGGTCATTCTTTGTCATCCAGGCTTGAAAGTGCGCTGGTGTGATCTTGGCTCACTGCAACCTCAGCCGCCCAGGCTCAAGTGATTCTGCTGCCTCCCAGGTAGCTGGGACTACAGGTGTGCTCCATCACACCTGGCTAATTTTTGTATTTTTGGTAGAGCTGGGGTCTTGCTGTGTTGCCCAGCCTGGGCTCAAACTCCTGGGCTCAACCCATCTGCCTGCCTTAGCCTCCCAAAGTGCTTGGGTTTATAGGCCATGTGCCAGTGTGCCCAGCCAACTGTCAACATTTTGCCATTCTATTTCGTGCAGCCCCCTGCTCCCCCAGATTTATTTTGTGAAGAATTTAAGGGAGACATAGGAGACTCCATTAAATATGAAAGCAGTCAGGTCTGAGGTAGCATTATGGGATACCAAATCAAGACTATTGTTTTTTGTTTTTTGTTTTTTT